ACACACACACACACACACACACACCTCGCCCTCCAAACGCCTTCGACGCTTACACCTGATGCGGTCAGGCAGGTCTCTGTCCAGCGCCAGGTTTCAGCTGCAGGACCAGATGACTGTTGTCTACATTGGCTCTCTCCATTACCCCATACCACCCCCCACCCCCCGATCCCTGTCGCAAGTCATGTGTTTTTTATGTTGTAAGTTGTGAGGATTCATGTGCTTCATTGTGCTGAGGGTTTTTTTTTTTTCCTTTCTGTTCTCAAACTGCTCTCCCATCTGGGCGGAGTTCTTTTTTCCCTCCTCTTCCCTCCTGTATTGCATCATTTATCTCTCTGTATGTACAATCAGAAGGCGTCCTGTTTCACTGCATGTACGTGTAACATTGCTAATGACAATTAAACGTCTCAATCAAGTGTTGAACAGGAATCATGTTAGATTCTGGCAGACACACTGGTCTCTACAGACTGGTTGGTAACAAGTTAACAAGTCTATCAGACTCATTTAAAACACTACATGTAAACCAAAGTGAAGGTGTCTTAAAGCTTTCTTGTGGCTGTTTTTGGGATGACGTACCTGACTTTCTTTGTTAGGACATCTGCAGCAGAGACAAACAGTGGCCGTCTGCACACACACCTTTTGGTGCCATAGCGTTTATTTGTCTGTATCATGTCTGAGGAGGAAGTTTAAAGTTAAATGATAATGAGAAACTCAGTTTTACATTTTAACATGCAGAAATCAGTCAACACAGACTTTCTATATTCTTTGTTTACCCTGGAAACTGAGTGAATACGACTGGGAGCCAGCAGTGAACTCCACCACGTCTTTGTCATTGGCCAGGAACTTCTCCTCCAGCTTTGTGCTGTTGATGTCTGCTGCTTTATGTCCACTAGTCTGCAAAGCAAGAAAGGTGACTGTTTTTAACCTGAAAACAAACCTGCATCGGCATAAGAGCAACGAACGATTGGTAAGAGAAATTAATTTATAATATTTAATAAATATCCCAGGATAGCGACTGTCAAATTAGCTTGGCTGAAAACCATTGAGGCTGTTTGAAAGTCTGACGTTCTTTCCAGTAGAGTTACCCTAACAGACTTTAACTTTACTTATTTATTTTTTAAACTCAACAGTCCAGTATGAGCATGCTCAGGTCACATGATCAACTGAGCACAGCTGGTACATGTAGCCGTTTACTTCAGCTGCTAATTTCTCCTCAGAGATACCAGAGCTGTATGCACAGACTGTGGCAGCCTCGATTTACAGCCATAATAGATGAGATTAAAACTTTAATCATGAGCTGTAAGTCCAGCAGCTTAAACAACAGAATACAGAGAGGATAAAAAAATATGAAAACTATAGTTGTGATTGCAGCAGAAGCAATGCAGTGGCCTCCAAAATGGTCAGTGAAATAAAGGTTCAGTGACTATTTGTAGCTCAGATCAGCTCCGCTAGCTTTTCTTGCTGAGGCATGCTGTCAGTGTGGAGATCTTCAATAAAACTCTGGAGCAGCTATTTTTTCCATGTTTGTTCACAATCTGTTAAGAAGTGTTTCACAACTACACCACTCCCATGACATGGCATTACCCAGAGCAAAGACTTTAACCTTTGATTAGAAAATCAGATAGTTTACGCTTTAATAACAGCCCCTGATGTAATAAATCTATTGAGGCAGTATGACTTTAAAGATATTTTAACAGAGAGTGACAACAGAGAACTGACTTCGAAGCTGATATATCGAACGTGTTAGCAAACAGTTACACATTTACATAGTCAAAAACCCCAGTGCATGACACTAAGGTGCTTGTGTGCACCTTTTATGTAAAGGTCCTACATGCTCAGTGCTCCATTATTTTTGCAGTCTAGCACCTAGATATGGTTCTGAGCAGGTATTACAGAATTGGTTTTTAAGAATTTGTTATCATTGAAAATGCTGTCGAGATGTTTAGCTCTCCTGACGAGAGCTAAAGCTAAAGCTAAAACAAACAAGCTGAAAAGCACTGAAATGCTTTGTGGAGATCACCTGGAGGGGGAAAAACACCCGGTAGGGTCATAGTTCGAGGGACTTTTTTCCACATTACAAATGTTTTTTTTAATCATGTTTACAACAAAAGTACTGACTCACGTGCTAACAACCTTTTGAAAACACTGTGGATGAACAGTGGATTCTGATGCTACTCACATCTGCGGAATAAGTGTTCCACCTCCCAAACTCATCCTGCCAGTACCAAAGCCACTCGGTGGTGTGGATGAAAGTCGGCTCAATCACGGAGTTTTCTGTCGAGAGTCGACGTACTTTGTTCCATCCACAGGTCATCGTGTCAAAGTGCACGGCCGGACTGGTGCTACTGCAGACACCCAAAACAGAAGGCATAATGTTAACGTTTTAACAAGTGTGTGGAGTTTGAAAGAAGTTGATATTAAGGAAACAGTAATAGAAATAAAGAATTGTGTCCTGTGGCTGTGGAATCATCACCTAAATCGTCTCCTTTCCACAACCAGGTCCTTGTGTTTGTGTTTGTATTGGGTCTCACTTTAGGATGAATTTGTCTCATAATTGGAGATTAAGTATCAGAACTTCAGGAGTGGGACCACACCTCCAAACACACTCCTTCCAGTTCTCATCCATATAGGTTCCCCCAGTCCTACAAGCTGTTCATTCTCGTTTACATGCCCCACCCTCCATCCCCTTTTCAATTCTTTAACTTCTTGACTTGTATTTAGTACGTTTAGTACGGGATGTGCCAGGTCCCGGAGCTGCCGTCAGTCCCTTTCGAGGCCTTCCTCAAACCGCAGCTCAATTCATGTCAAAGCCATTCACCTTTATCTACGAAAATGCTGTCAAATATAAATGAGGACGTGGGCCCAGCTAGTGAATTACCCGTTACCAATGTAGACCTTATTCTACAGGCCCACACACCAACACAAATCCCTATTCTAAAGAGGACACACGTATGATCTTTGTCATAGTATTTATGTATGAACACAAAGCAAAGATGAAAACCAGCACAAAGAGACGTTAAAGCGATCACCACGGTGATTCTACTTTGGAAACATATACAGGCAGAAACTGAGCTGGCAGCCTGACTGCTCCTCAGTAGGGAAGGGTACCGGTATCAGGTGCCATGATGGCACCGGTTCTGACATAAACGGTAGTAACCAGACCTAAAAGCAGCGCACATTTCGGTGCTTTTTTTCCTTAGATGTCACACACTTCAGATTCTAGCCAATCATTTTACGTTTCCGAGGATAGTAGGCGGGGCCAGGTACGAACGTTCTTTTAGAGCAGAGCTACAGATTAAAAATGTCCAAGGCGAAGCGGTCAAAGTCTGGCTGTACTTCACAGCAAAA